GCTCTCCATGTGTCAGTATATAATGCCTGCATCTGTAACTTTCACTCTATGCATCTGAAGAAGTGAGGTTTTTACTCACGAAAGCTTATGCCCAAATAAATCTGTTAGTCTTTAAGGTGCCACCAGACTCCTTGTTGTTTTTATCTAGGAAGGAGTACTGTGGAATGGGATATGGGGGTCAGAGTGGATCACAAGGTAAATATGAGTGAACAGTGTAACACCGTTGCCAAAAAAAATAAAAATAAAGAAACATCATTTGGGGATGTATTAGCAGGAGTGTTGTTAAGCAAGGCACAAGAAGGAATTAATACACTCTACTCTGTACTGATTAGGCCTCAACTGGAGTATTGTGTCCAGTTCTGGGTGCCACATTTCAGAAAAGATGTGGACAAATTGGAGAAAGTCCAGAAAAGAACAACAAAAATGATTAAAGGTCTAGAAAATATGACCTCTGAGGGAAGATTGAAAAAATTGGGTTTGTTTAGTCTGGAGAAGAGAATACCGTCAGAGGACATGATAATTTTCAAGTAAATAAAAGGTTGTTATAAGGAGAACAAGAAAATAGGACAAGAAGCAATGGGCTTAAATTGCAGCAAAGGAGGTTTAGGTTGGACATTAGGAAAAACTTCCTGTCAGGGTGTTTAAGCACTGGAATAAATTGCCTCGGGAGGTTGTGGAATCTCCATCATTGGAGATTTTTAAGAGCAGGTTAGACAAACACCTGTCAGGGATGGTCTAGATAATACTTAGTCCTGCCATGAGTGCACGGGACTGGATTAGATGACCTCTTGAGGTCTCTTCCAGTCCCATGATTCTATGACTTATAGGATAACCTTCCAGTGCTTCTAACCAAGATAATAAAGATACACACCGCAAGACTGTGTATGGGGAAAAAAAGCCAATCTAAAACAAGAATGCTTTACTACAACGATAGGAGGGGTTCTCCTATCACTATAGTTAATCCTTCTTTCCAAAAGGTGGTAGCTAGGTCAACAGAAGAATTCTTGTCTATGCAGCAGCTTAGGTTGGCTTAACTATGGCCTAGTCTTCACTTACCGGCTGGTCCGGCAGCACGCCATTGATGTTCTGGGATCGATTTATCGTGTCTGGTTAAGACACGATAAATCGATCCCA